AAAGTTATTTCTGGTAATAACTCTTATTATGGGCAAGGCTCCCAATTTAAATATTTTACAGAGAGGTAAAAGTTTCTTTTGGGCCTGCAAAGCCTCTATTGCCTTCAGCTCAAAATGATCCACAGGCCAAAGTAGCACATCTTGGCGAGGTCCGTTCTGAACTCCTTTATTTTAATGCAAGTTATGTGAATGTGGTCTCTCTCTCTCTCTCTCTCTCTCTCTCTCTCTATATTACTATACTGTACCCACCCTTATTGTTCCTTTGATGATATGAGATAATAAAATACCTATGTGGTGAGATGAAATGAGGTGAATGACATAGGCATTGTGACGTAGCGTTAGGCTACTACTGACTTTCTGGCGATATGTCATGATGTTGTCAATGGGTGAATATCAGAAGCAGATGATGTGGATCAGGGGTCCTCAAACTAGGGCCCTCGGGCCACATGCAAATACAAATATTGTATTTGTTCCCGTTTTGTTTTTTTACTTCAAAATAAGATATGTGCAGTGTGCATAGGAATTTGTTCATAGTTTTTTTTTAAACTATAGTCCGGCCCTCCAACGGTCTGAGGGACAGTGAACTGGCCCCCTATTTTAAAAGTTTGAGGACCCCTGATTGTGGATGGTTGGGGAAATTTAACATTTTAAGACTGAAGTTGACCTCGGGTAACTGAAATTACAGAAAGCAACACTGAGGATAAGAGAGGACTACTATACAAACTTCTGTAAACATCTTTAATTTGGAAAGAAAAACACTTCTCTGCTCACTCCACTTACAACACTCACAAAATCTCAGTATTATGTTTCAAAGTTCAATATACTTAAAACATTTTGAAGGTTAGGGTTAGAAAGGAGTATGTAAATTCTGCCATTTTATACTCAGTTTCTCCCTTTATAGGACGATCAGGAAGTGAGTCCAATCCATCATTACCCATGGAAGCCAAAGCAGTATTATGATGGTAAAAAGTCATTGGTTTCAGAGTTAGACAATTTGGATATAGATTTGGCTCTATTATTATTAGCTGTGTGACCTTTGAAAAGTTGTTTAATGAGTCTTGGTTTCCAAATCTAGAAAATAGAAAAATAATACCTATCTAATAGGACTGATATAAAGACTAAATAAGGTAGCACATGTGGCAAGCACCTAGAATCATGTCTAGTGTGAAATAGACTCAATAAATGTTATCCTCTCTTTCTACTACTACACACATCCTGTCCCCTGACACTTTAAGAGTTTTACTAAACACTTAACTACTAGTTCTGTTTTCTTCAAAACAGGCACTTGGCTCTTAAAAGTGACTAATAAATAGTCATGTGAAAGACTCCTGGGGCCTGACATTGCCCATGAGAAACAAAAATGTTCTCATATTGGGGAATATCACCAACTGCTTCAAGCTATGACAAGCCCCAAACAGTAAATCAATTCCTGAATGTTTTTATAGTATTACATCTTGAGAGCTTCGTGCTTTTTCAGAGTCCTTTTCTCCTTTCAAGGATCAGGCATGCTATTTGCCCTCTTTCCCCTTCTGAATAGAGGTTTTTATGCAACAAGATGGATTTAAATATTAGGAATCAGAAAAGGCCAGGTTCAACCATGAAGAAACTGGCAGTCTCGGGATTAAGTAGTAAGCCTTTATTAACCTTTTAGCATCTAAATTTTTGTGCTTTCTGTTCATGGGAATAGTAGACTTGCTGATGTACTGATTCAAACATGTCTGTGTAATTCTCTCACCTACCATTATCATGAAATTCTTAGCATACAGAAGAGTTCTCACTGAGGTCCAGAATCTCAAGACTCTAACTAGAATCTAATAAAGCAATGTTTCACTACCTTTCCCACTTCATGGTACAAACAGACTGTGAAATGTGGCACTTCTGAACTAAAGGCACTTGAAAGTATTGATTTTGAGAGAGAGAGAGAAAAACATTAATTTATTGTTCCACTTATTTATGCATTCATTGGTTAATTGCTGTATGTGCCCTGACCCAGGATCGAACCCAAAACCTTGGCATGTCGGGATGATGCTCCAACTGAGCTACCCAGCCAGGGCCTGGGACTTGAAAGTACTGATGGCTACAAAGGATTACAGTATAAGAAGCACTAAGAGATAAGGTACACAAAGATAAACTTATTTGAAACCTGTCTTAGATTTTTTATCACACAAACATAATTGTCTCCACTCCAAGAAGCTCTGGGTCAATGTCTACACACTCCTTTACAGGGCTGACCACCCCGTCAGATCTAAAAGAGAAAGTGGATATTAGAAACGCAATCAGCGTTTGATTTGTGGCAGCATGTTCTCAAAGTGAGGATCATAAAACACTAAGTCAGTGAATTAGGCACCAAATACTTATTGAATGTCTTATACCAGGCAGTACAGTTCTAGATACTGAGAATTAAGCTGTAAACAAGATAGAGTATCTGCCCTTCGGGAGCTCACATTCTAATGGGGGGTGCAGGGGAGAGACAATAAATTAAAACACTTTAATTTAGGCAATTTCAGTAGATCAATATTTTTTACCTATGTAGACATGTAGACCAAAATTTTTGACATAATGAGAAAACTACTACCAGGCAGTTTACTCAAGGAGGTAAAGAAGACGGAATAAATTATAGATAGAGGCTGACCCAGTTCCAAAATTAAATTCTCATTTTGTTGTCTCTCTGATATGGACTTAGCATCATTGCTTCTGTCCTTTGGTAACACATACAAAACAAGATGAGATCATTCATAGGAAGGTGATGAAGACGTAAACAGTATAAAATTACAGAGCAGACTAGAAATCTGAAGATCTAGGATCTACTTCCAATTCTTTCATTTAATATTCACATGAACTTGGGTAATTCACTTAAACTCCTAGAGCCTGACTTTCTTTTTTCTTTTCTTTTTCTTAATATGCATTTATTGATTTTTAGAGAGAGAGAAAGGGAAAGGAATAGTGACATAGCAACACTGATGACAAACATCAATCAGCAGCCTCCTGCACACTCCCTGCTGGGGATTAAGCCTGCAACCCAGGCATGTGCCCTGACCAGGAACTGAACCAGTGACCTCTTGGTTCATGGTCAAAACAACCACTGAGCTACACTGGCCAGGTGTGCCTGACTTTCTTCACCTGTTCTATCCCACTTTGTAGGATTTTTTAGGAAAACCTTAAATGAGGCAATAAGACAACTTGAAAAAATTAAAACGTTGGAAACAGACCAACCATATTGCCTAATCAAAGTGTATGAACAGACAGAAATAACTATATTTAAAATCCAAATGAATTCCTTCTCTTGTATATTAGGTGTTTTGAAGCCTTTGCTTCCATTCTGTTGTTCAAAGGGCCCACCCTTTGGAGAAAATGGATCCTAAAAAGTGATGTAAGGAATCACATAGACCTTCTTAGTGATTACTCCCCACTGAGCCAAGATCAGAAAATTACTTTCTGAAAGGTATTTCATTTCTTGATATCCTATCCCATGATTAAATGTCCTTATGAGTTATTCTTGCTGATTACTATCAATTAGGAGGTAGGAAGCAAATATTAAGTCCCTTCTCTTAACTGTTAAGACACAGATTATCAAGAACCACAATGTAATACTCTCTTTTCTCCTTCAAAGACTATCCTTTCATTTTCCTTTGGTATCTCTATAGCCATCATCTTAAATTCAATTGTCCATAGAAGGGGGTTGGGGGGGCAACTAGAGAGGCAAAGCAGTCTGGGGCATATAGTAAGAGTGAGAAGTGGTGGGACTAAAGTGGTAAGCATAAGAATTATCCAAAAGAATCATCATTTCTCAGCTCTAGCCTATTATTTATAGAAAAATGGGCTATGTGTTGATAGATCTTTGCTATTTCAAAAGATTCCAGAAACCACATATTTCTATGACACTTCTGAAATTTTATTTACATAATGCCCATAGTCACCCAGGGCAACTATAAATTCATAGTGCAGATTTCTTCTGTCAGTGAAAAGGTGAGTCATTTATTTTAAAAGTATTTATTGATGCTGATATATAACTTATCATTATTCTGATTTGAGGAAGTAAATATTAAGGGGGACCTTGCAAGCTAGACATAGGAGAGAGGACATTTCAGGTTAGGCATACATGTGCAAAGACATTGAGGTAGAAAAGAATGACTAGATCAGTTTGGCTGAAAAAAAGAATTCTTTTAGAGAAGGAATGGGACACAGATGAGGGAAAACTGTGAAAGACACTAAATTCTCGAGTAAAGAGTTAATGTTTTCATAATAATCTTTAAAAGATAGTCTACAAACCATGGAGAGTCATGAGGAGGGAGATCATTATCTATACTAATAAAAGGGTAATATGCAAATTGGTCATGACACCCTAACAGTCATGACCGTACATGCTAATTAGTCATGACCAGTATGCAAATTGACCACCACTCCAACACAGTAAGAGAGGGATATGCTAATTAACCCTGACATGCTAATTGGTCGTGACCAGTATGCAAACTGACCATCACTCCAACACACAAGATGGCCGCCACAAGATGGCCTGCAGGAGAGGGCAGTTGTGGGCGATCAGGTCAGCAGGGGAGGGCAGTTGGGGTAACTGGGCCTGCAGGGGAGGGCCATTTGGGGAGACTGGGTCTGCGGGGGAGGGCCATTGGGGGGGACCAGGCCTGCAGGGGAGGGCAGTTGGGGGCGACCAAGCCTGCAGTGGAGGGCAGTTGGGGGCAATCAGGCCAGGAGGGGAGGGCAATTGGGGCAATCAGGCCAGCAGGGGAAGGCAGTTGGGGGCGATCAGGCCGGCAGGGTAACAGTTAGGCGTTGATCAGGCTGGCAGGGGAGTGGTTAGGGGGTGATCAGGCTGGCAGGCAGAAGTGGTTAGGGGCAATCAGGCAGGCAGGCAGGCAGGCGAGCGGTTGGGAGCCAGCAGTCCTGATGGGATCGGGCCTAAACGGGCAGTCGGACATCCCTCGAGGGGTCCCAGATTGAAGAGGGTGCAGGCTGGGCTGAGGGACACCCCCCCCCCCAGTGCACGAATTTCGTGCACCGGGCCTCAAGTATTTCATATTCTGCTAAAAGTTGTATGTTGCTGTTCTTCCCTTCCACGTGCTCCCTCCTCCCTGCCAAAAATAGAGGATAAGGCTGAATGTTGACTCTCGAAACTTGAAGTTCTAAAAAATTCCCAAATGAATGCCAGTTTAACCAACCACACTGTAAGTCAACTTTGTTGGCGCTGATGGTCAGGCTTTCAAAGCAAAAATTAAATGATCTCCAAAGGGCTATTTCTTTCTGATCAATAGACATTTAGAATTTAAAACCCAGAAAAGGTTACTGGACAGTTTGGCACATTGTCATGTTCATCATCAGACAGAGCTCTCATCCAACTGCCTGTCAGCTAGCAAGAAGCTGGATGGAAGGCTGGCCTCATAAAAGTCTTCCATCAAGAGCACAAGCCCCAGAATACTCCACTATCCACATTCACCAGGTAGAGACAAGCCACAGAGCCATTTCTGTTTTATTCTGCAACAAATGATTCCAGTCCAGTTGATATTCTCAGTAAAAGTCCTGGAAACAAATAGACAAGAGAATAGAGCTTATGACTTTCATCATAACCTGTGATATTAAAATACCAAATTAGATGGACTTTGTTCTTTTAGAGAAAATATCCCAGAAGCAGTGCTGGAAAAGGCCAAGCACACAGTTCTAAGGAACTTAGACTTTATTATGAATGCAATGAGGGAATCATTAAAGATTTTTGGCCAGATAAATGACATAATCAGAGCATATTTTTAGAAACACTAACTTGGTGGTAATATTCAGAATGGTTTGAAGAGGGGAGAAAGATCAAAAGTAGGGAGACCAATTTAAGCAAATGCATAGAGTTGAGAATGAGCATGGTAAGTCTGTACTTCTGGACATCTTAGGGCCTAGGAAACCGTCAGGAACTGTTGTTACTCTTTCAGGCGTGTATCTTTCTCTTATATATGCATAAACTATCTCACGCATGTTTACATCCCACACATGGTGCCTCTACTTCTACTTACTGGTTCTATTCTTTCCAGAAAACCTCTGCACTAAACAGATGGCCAATAATTATTAACCTACCACAAGCTCCATGTAACCTCTCAGCTACAGTGCTCATCATCATTTGGCAGCTCCCCTACATTAAAAAGTTGAAAGTCCTAAGAAGAGTCTATCTTACCCAAATTATTATCTCTGTCTTAGCTAAGACTGTCATGCCAAACCATGTCACATATACCTGTTTAGCCTATTGATGGGCTACCCTTGTTCAGAATTCCCTCTGATCTAATTAGCTGGGACCAGCAGGGAAAATAGCTTCTCTTAGGTTGATTGGCAGGATAGGGCAGACAATGACAGACTTTTGAAACATTTTATTTTTCATTTACAGTTGACATATAATATTAGTAGTGACCAGATATTTATATACCTTATGAAGTGATCACTCTGATAAGTCTGGTACCCATCTGAAACCACACATAGTTATTACAATATTATTGACTATATTCCCTATGCTGTAGTACTTTACATCCTTGTGACTATTTTTATAATTGGCAATTCATACTTCTCCCCACAATCTCCCCTTCTATCTGGCAACTATCAATTTGTTTTCTGTATCTATGAGTTTGTTTCTGTTTTGTTTGTTCATTTGTTTTTTAGATTCCACATATAAGTGAAATCATATGGTGTCTGTCTTTTTCTGTCTGACTTATTTCATTTAGCATAATACCCTTCTATGAGTATCCATGCTGTTGCAAATGATAAGATTTATTTTTAATGGCTGAGTAGTATTCCATTGTATACATATGTACCATATCTTCTTTATCCATTCATCTATTGATGAATACTTAAGTTGTTTCCATATCTTGGCTATTGTAAATAATGCTACAATGAATATAGGGGTGTATATATCTTTTCAAATTATTGTTTTTGGATTTTTGCAGATAAATACCCAGAAGCGGAATTGCTGGGTCATATAGTAGTTCTATTTTTAATTTTTTAAGGAATCTCCATACTTTTTTCCATAGTGGCCACACTAATTTACAATCCCACCAACAATGCATGAGGGTTCCCTGTTCTCTACATTCTCTCCAACACTTGCTATTTGTTAATTCATTGATGATAGCCATTCTGACTGGTGTAAGATGATATCTCATTGTGGTTTTAATTTGTATTTCTCTGATGATTAGTGATGTTGAGCATCTTTTCGTGTGTCTATTGGCCATCTGTAAGTCCTCTTGCTATTATAGCTCAGGAAGAGCAGAAAATAAGCTATCCTAGGTAGAGCACAGAGAACTTTTAAAGCCAAGTAGACATGATGGCTATTTAAGATAAGCAAACAGCCCAGCCAGTGTGGCTCAGTGGTTGAGCGTCAATCTATGAATTAGGAAGTCACAGTTTGATTCCCAGTCAAGGCATATGCCTGGATTGCAGTCATGGATCCATCCTCAGTAGGGGGCATGCAGGAGGCAGCCAATCAATGATTTTTCTATCTCTCTCTCCTTCTCCCTTCCTCTCTTTTTTAAAAAAGATAAGCAAACACATAAGATTAATTGGTATCCAATGAAAACAAATTGTTCATTCTACTAAAAATGGTGTAAATGTGCACATGTGCACACCTTAATTCAAGCAAACCACCATATACAAAGACTTAGTTTCTTTTTTTTTTAATTAAATTTTTATTGTTCAGATTATTACAGTTGTTCCTCTTTTTCCCCCCATAGCTCCCCTCCACCCAGTTCCCACCCCACCCTCTGCCCTTACCCCCCCACCACTGTCCTCATCCATAGGTGCATGATTTTTGTCCAGTCTCTTCCTGCACCCCCCACACCCCTTTCCCCCAGAGAATTGTCAGTCCACTCCCTTTCTATGCCTCTGATTCTATTATATTCACCAGTTTATTCTGTTCATCAGTTTATTTATTCACTTGATTTTTAGATTCACTTGTTGATAGATATGTACTTGTTGTTCATAATTTTTATCTTTACCTTTTTCTTCTTCTTCCTCTTCTTAAAGAATACCTTTCAGCATTTCATATAATACTGATTTGGTGGTGATGAACTCCTTTACCTTTTTCTTATCTGTGAAGCTCTTTCTCTGACCTTCAATTCTGAATGATAGCTTTGCTGGATAAAGTAATCTTGGTTGTAGGTTCTTGCTATTCATCACTTTGAATATTTCTTGCCACTCCCTTCTGGCCTGCATAGTTTCTGTTGAGAAATCAGCTCACAATCTTATGGGTACTCCCTTGTAGGTAACTAACTGTTTTTCTCTTGCTGCTTTTAAGATTCTCTCTTTGTCTTTTGCTCTTGGCATTTTAATTATGATGTGTCTTGGTGTGGTCCTCTTTGGATTCCTTTTGTTTGGGGTTCTCTGCGCTTCCTGGACTTGGAAGTCTATTTCTTTCACCAGGTAGGGGAAGTTTTCTGTCATTATTTCTTCAAATAGGTTTTCAATATCTTGCCCTCTCTCTTCTTCTGGCACCCCTATAATTCGGATGTTGGTTTGCTTGAAGTTGTCCCAGAGGCTCCTTACACTATCTTCATATTTTTGGATTCTTTTTACTTTTTGCTTTTCCGGTTGGGTGTTTTTTACTTCTTCGTATTTCAAATCTTTGACTTGATTCTTGCAATCTTCTAGTCTGCTGTTGGATCTCTGTATAATATTCTTTATTTCAGTCAGTGTATGCTTAATTTCTAGTTGGTCCTTTTTCATATCCTCGAGGGTCTCACTAGATTTATTGAGGGTCTCACTAAATTTATCAGCGGTTTCTAGAAAATTCTTGAAAAACCTTATAACTGTGGTTTCGAACTCTATATCCAGTAGTTTGCTTTCCTCCATTTCTGTCATTTGTGACCTGTTTCTTTGTCTCCGCATTTTGGCTGCTTCCCTGTTAATAGGGTGGCTTTCTGTGCTAGGTGTCCTATAGGGCCCAGTGGCTCAGCCTCCCCAATTACCTGAGGTGGACACTCTTGGTGTACCCCTTTGTGGGCTGTGTGCACAGTCTTGTTGTAGTTAAGCCTTGATTGTAGTTGGTATCACTGGGAGGAATTGACCTCCAGGCCAATTGGCTGTGAGAATCAGCTGTGTCTATGGTGGGAGAACTTCTGTGCTGGAGACACCCTTATGGGGCAAGACTTGCTTCAGTGGGGTTTTGGTGCTCACTGAGTCTGCCCCCTGAGTGTGTCCCTTATGGATCTGAGGAGTTGTAATCTGGATGGTCCCACTCTGACCACTGGGTACACTGGCACTTGGATCTCTAAGGAGGTGCTAATTTAGCCTCAGCCTGAGGCTACCCAGCAGGAGCTATGGAGAGATCTGCAGATTCCTCTTCTTTGTTTGGGATTTGGAGGTGCCCAGATGAGGCCCAGCTGTGAAGCAATGCAAGCTGCTGTGGGGTGTTGGGCCTTCTTTTGGATATTCTGGGTCTTTCTGACCCAGCTGCAGTTTGTTAGGTAACTTTAGATTGCAAAGGGCCAGGGCATTCATATGCAAAAGCCTCTGCGCACAGCTTGGGTGGGGCGGGGTCTCAGGGAATCAACAGGGTGGAGCAAACAGCAATGGCTGATCCTCAGCCCTGCCCTAAGAGGCCCCAGGTCTCAGTGTCCTGCGGTAATCACTGCAAGCACCTCTGAGAGAAAGCTGCCCTCAAGTTCCGCCTGCTGCCAGACAGCCCAGTTTCTCCCGGTATGATTCTGGGTCCCCAGAGACTCGCCTGGAACTGGAGTTCAGAGCAGTCAGGAGCTTGTGCCTCCCCCCCGATTGAAAAAGACAACTGCATCCTCAGTTGCCAGCCCTTTCCACGTGCACCTCCGTACCTCTGCACTTTACTTCCACACCTCCTCTGAGTCTCAGTGTGCTTTTCTCTTCCTTCTAGTTGTAGAATTTCCACTCAGCCAGCCTTCCTGTGGTTCTGGATGATGTCCGTTTTGTCTTTTAGTTGTATTTTTGAAGTGGTTGTGCGAGGCAGCAATTTCAGGTGTTTACCTATGCCACCATCTTGGTTTCCTTCATTGTCTTTTAAATAATCCTCTAATGCTGAAAATGTATTAAAATTTAAAATATGTGATGTTCATATGATTTTTTCTAAGAACTTATATATTATTTAGCATGAATAACACATTTACTCCAAAAAATTCTATTTAAGTTTAATAAATTCTATTTAGGTTTAATATTTATAAATCACTGTGTAATCTAAAACCCAAAATACAAACCTCTAAACCAAATTACCATAGGCAAGGAAGATAACAGACAAGAATTTAAATAGAAATTTAAACTCAAAGCAAGTAATTTCACCCAGATTCTAACAATTATATAGAAATAGATATTTTGTGTTTTCTTCGCATTTTGTACAACTCTCATTCTACTACTACTATATTGTATATATTTGCCTTCTTTATATGACTGTTTCCTGAACCTAGAAGACAGACTATATTTGTTTATAGTTGTATCTCTAGTACCTAAAATTGTACCTGGAACATAGCAGGTACTTCTAAATGATGAATGAGTGGCTGGTAGGAAGGACATAGAATGGAACAAACTAAGGG